TCACTAACACTCAGAATACACTAATGAACCTCTCACCAGCACTCAGAACACACTAGTGAACCTCTCACCAGCACTCAGAACACACTAGTGAACCTCTCACCAACACTCAGATTACACTATTGAACCAATAACTAACACTCAGAACACACTAGTGAACCTCTCACCAACACTCAGATTACACTATTGAACCAATAACTAACACTCAGAACACACTAGTGAACCTTTCACCAGCACTCAGAACACATTAGTGAACCTCTCACCTGCACTCAGAACACACTAGTGAACCTCTTACCAGTACTCAGAACACACTAGTGAACCTCTATCTAACACTCAGAATACACTAGAGAACCTCTCAGCAACACTCAGAAGATAATAGTGAACCTCTCACTATCACTCAGAACATATTAGCGAACCTCTCACCAACGCTCAGAGCACACTAGTGAATCTCTCACTAACACTCAGAACACTAATGATCTTTTCACTAACACTCAGAACACACTAGTGAACCTCTCATCAACAGTCACAATACACTACTGAATCTCTCACTAACACTCAGAATACACTAGTGAACCTCTCACCAGCACTCACAACTCACTAGTGAACCTCTCACCAACACTCAAAACACACTAGTGAACCTCTCACCAACACCAAGAACGCATTAGTGAACCTCTCACCAGCACTCAAAACTCACTAGCGAACGTCTCACCAGCAGTCAGAACACACTAGTGAACCTCTCACCAGCACTCAGAACACTATGAACCTCTCAATTACCAGCAATCGAACACACAGTGAACCTCTCACAACACTCAGAACACATAGTGAACCTCTCATAAAAATTCAGAATAACACTATTGAACCTTCTCATAACACTTAGAAACACAGTATAACGTCTCCAGAGCTCAGAACACACTAGTGAACCTCTCAACAGCACTCAGAACACAAAAGTGAACATCTCACCAGCACTCAGAACACACTAGTGAACCTCTCACCAGCACTCAGAACTCACTAGTGAACCTCTCACCAACATTCAAAACACACTAGTGAACCTCTCACCAGCACTCAAAACACGCTAGTGAACCTCTCACCAGCACTCAGAACTCACTAGTGAACCTCTCACCAACACCCAGAACACACTAGTGAACCTCTCACCAGCACTCAAAACACGCTAGTGAACCTCTCTCCCGCACTCAGAACACTAAAGAGCCTCTCACCAGCACTCCGAACACACAGTGAAGCTCTCACAAGCACTCAGAACACAGTAGTGAACCTCTCACCAAGACTCAGAATACACTATTGAACATCTCACTAACACTCAGGATACACTAGTGAACGTCTCACCAGCACTCAGAACACAGTAGTGAACCTCTCAACAGCACTCAGAACACAATAGTGAGCCTCTCTCCAGCACTCAGAACACACAAGTGAACCTCTCACCAGCACTCAGAACACACTAGTGATCCTCTCACCAGCGCTCAAAACACATTAGAGAACCTTTCAACAGCACTCAGAACACACCAGTGAACCTCTCACCAGTAATCATAACACACTAGTGAGCCACTTACCAGTACTTAGAACTCTCTAGTGAACCTCTCACTAACACTCAGAATACACTAGAGAACCTCTCACCAACACTCAGAACATGCTAGTGAACCTCTCACCAACACTCAGAACATACTAGTGAACCTCTCACCAACACTCAGAACATACTAGTGAACCTCTCACTAACACTCAGAACACTAATGAACCTTTCACTGACACTCAGAAATCACTAGTGAACCTTTCACTAACATTCGAAACACTCTAGTGAACCTCTCATCCACATCCAGAATACACTACTGAACCTCTCACTAACACTCAGAATACTCTAGTGAACCTCTCACCAGCACTCAGAACTCACTAGTGAACCTCTCACCAACACTCAAAACACATTAGTGAACCTCTCACCAGCACTCAGAACACACTAGTGAACCTCTCACCAGCACTCAGAACACACTAGTGAACCTCTCACCAGCACTCAGAACACACTAGTGAACCTCTCACCAACACTCAGAATACACTAGTGAACCTCTCACCAGCACTCAGAACACACTAGTGAACCTCTCACCAGCACTCAGAACACATAGTGAACCTCTCACCAGCACTCAGAACACACTAGTGAACCTCTCACCAACACTCAGAATACACTAGTGAACCTCTCACTAACACTCAGAATACACTAGTGAACCTCTCACCAACACTCAGAACACTAATGAACCTCTCACCAGCACTCAGAACACACTAGTGAACCTCTAACTAACACTCAGAACGCTAATGAACCTTTCAATGACACTCAGAAAACACTAGTGAACCTTTCACTAACACTCAGAACACACTAGTGAACCTCTCATTCACATTCAGAATTCACTAGTGAACCTCTCACTAAAACTCAGAATACACTAGTGAACCTCTCACCAGCACTCAGAACTCACTAGTGAACCTCTCACCAGCACTCAGAACTCACTAGTGAACCTCTCACTAAAACTCAGAATACACTAGTGAACCTCTCACCAACACTCTGAACTCACTAGTGAACCTCTCACCAGCACTCAGAACACACTAGTGAATCTTTCACCAGCACTCAGAACACACTAGTGAACCTCTTACCAGTACTCAGAACACACTAGTGAACCTCTCACTAACACTCAGAATACACAAGAGAACCTCTCACCAACAGTCAAAACATACTAGTGAACCTCTCACGAACTCTCAGAACATATTAGTGAACCTCTCACCAACACTCAGAACACACTAGTAAATCTCTCACTAACACTCAGAACACTAATGAACCTTTCACTAACACTCAGAACACACTAGTGAACCTCTCATGAACACTCAGAATACACTACTGAACCTCTTACTAACACTCAGAATACACTAGTGAACCTCTCACCAACACTCAGAACACAGTAATGAACCTCTCACCAACACTCAGAACACACTAGTGAACCTCTCACCAACACTCTGAACACACTAGTGAACCTCTCACCAACACTCAGAACAAACTAGGGAACCTCTCACCAACACTCAGAACAAACTAGGGAACCTCTCACCAACACTCAGAACACACTAGTGAACCTCTCACCAACACTCAGAACACACTAGTGAACCTCTCACCAACACTCAGAACAAACTAGAGAACCTTCAGTCATCATTTAAACCTACTACCAACATTTACAACACCTATGTGAACCTGACACTAATATTTGCATTTACAATAATTAAGTGAACATAACACCAACATTTACAACACTTAAGTGAACCAAATACCAACATTGACAACACGTAAGTGAAACTAACACCAACATTTAGAGCAATTAAGTTAACAATTCTTTACTATTTACAACACGTAAGTGGACATAAAACACTCATTTACAATACATAAGTAACCTTACCAGCAACATTTACAGTACATAAGAACCTACCACCAAGAAGTACTGGAAATAAGTGGAACTTCCAGCCAGCCACTTACTATATAATTATCTGTAGCGACTTTTGTCTCATTATTAATTGATATATTTTTTTATTAATAAAAGATTATTAAAACGTAGGTAATGAATATATTCCAAGAGTTTGGATAAAATTTTCGTTTGACGTTATGCTGAATATTTCTCAAGAACGAGATTGAAATTTTAATTTTCAAGGTACACGTAATTATTAATAATATCTGATGGGATGTGACTGACGTGAACTTCTTATATCTGCTGAAGGAGCGATGGGTTATGGACAATAACTTTCCAGGATCTTGCTATACGACTCACGAAATAGTAATGACACGATTGCAAACAAACCATATCACGGGCGGAGAGAGAACCCGCGATCAGTCTCAAAACTCCAGACTCTCTGATCGCGGGTTCTATCCCCGTCCGTGGTATGGTTAGATTGAATATACGATAAATTTGTGGCGACCTCGGCTTTTCCATGGTGAAGAAATCTCGAGAAGGGAAGGAGACAAGATATCGAAGAATTTACTATAGATATGATGGCCAGAAACTGTCTACGTGTTTAGTGATACTGCTGAGGAAAATTTGAATTAAGGACTGATGGTACGACTGTAAGAATATGACAGGAAAGGTACATAGGATGGGTATTACTCTGATTAAATCAGGGAACGGGGAGGATTGAACCCGTGAAGGTGAGTCACTTTCAGTGCTCAGTTGCCATGAGTTTAAACCCCTGATTTGTTCGCAGTCTTCATATTACAATTTATTGAGTCGTTACTTTGATTGTTTACGTGTCGGCAGCACATGATATATCAAGGAATGTATTATAACGAATATAATATCTTATAAGTAATATCAGCTACGTGGAGGATATGTTACCAGACTTTACAGTAGTGTTCTTCTTTACTATTTATGTTAGTAATTGCTGACGACAGCGCATATATAACACCTTGTTGGGAAGACTGTATATCTGATAACGTTGTCATTCCGCTTCCAAACATCTCTGTTAAATATGTTCACTCTCCCTACATAGTAGGGAGAGTGTACACATCTTTTCTAATTCCTACTTTCTTCAAAGACATTTTTATGTCTTATTTCTTGTGCGGTTGACTATATAAACAAGCAAATTCTTTCTCATCAATCAGTGGTAATTATTTTCTCATTTAAATTATTAATTTTTCTCATTTAAAAATAGTGATTTTTTCTATAATGTGTAACGTTGCTGAAATATTTATATATACCCCAATAATTTTTTTTAAATTAAGCACAATGGTTTAAACATAAAATATTGTAGTCAAATTTCACGATCCTTCGGTTTATATAGAACTTTATTTAAGGAAAGTCTAAGTATAGTGTGTTAAGGAGCCCAGCTAATTACTAATGTCTAGTGATAACTTGAGTCTAGTAAATACTAGAATACTATGTACATTATACAATAAGGTACATAACTAATCAAATTTTTTTTTTCTTCTGTAAGGAAGAGTCGGAAGCCTCGCGGCCAGAATGTTGCGTGAGGCTTACTTGGGCTGTTGTTCCGTGCCTTGCTGTAGGAGGCTTCCCATTGTAAACCAGAGAGAATTGAAGAGATTAAATTGATTTTCCATTGTTCTGTCCTCCTCTTGTCTGCATGGATAGGATGCGATCCATTCATAAGGACTTAACCTGTGAAATAAGGGGACAAAATCGAGAACATGGAATACAATACCAAACACGGGAGAGGAAACACGACAGGAAATAGATGCTTTCCTCAAGCAGCTGACTGGCTGCAATGTTTCTGTAAAGATTAGTACAGATATATTTACAAGAAAATATTTCCACTGGGATGGAAAAAATCAAGAGAGAGAGAGAGAAAGAGAGAGAGAGAGAGAGAAAGAGAAGAGAGAGAGAGAGAGAGAGAGAGAGAAGAGAGAGAGAGAGAGAGAGAGAGAGAGAGAGAGAGAGAGAGAGAGAGAGAGAGAGAGAGAGAGAGACAGACAGACAGAGAGAGAGACAGAGAGAGAGACAGACAGAGAGAGAGAGAGAGAAGAGAGAGAGAGAGAGAGAGAGAGAGAGAGAGAGAGAGAGAAATAAACAGTTCTATAATATACCAGGCAGACAGTTTACTGAGACTGTGTACTATCGTAGCTGATGGTCTCCAGGACCCTCTGACACAGTGGTAGGTTGTGGAGTCTCCAGGACCCTCTGACACAGTGCTAGGTTGTGGAGTCTCCAGGACCCTCTGACACAGTGCTAGGTTGTGGAGTCTCCAGGACCCTCTGACACAGTGCTAGGTTGTGGAGTCTCCAGGACCCTCTGACACAGTGCTAGGTTGTGGAGTCTCCAGGACCCTTTTGACACAGTGATAGGTTGTGGAGTCTCCAGGACCCTCTTGACACAGTGCTAGGTTGTGGAGTCTCCAGGACCCTCTTGACACAGTGCTAGGTTGTGGAGTCTCCAGGACTCTCTGACACAGTGCTAGGTTGTGGAGTCTCCAGGACTCTCTGACACAGTGCTAGGTTGTGGAGTCTCCAGGACCCTCTGACACAGTGCTAGGTCGTGCAGTTTCCAGGACCCTGTGACACAGTGATAGGTTGTGGAGTCTCCAGGACCCTCTGACACAGTTCTAGGTTGTGGAGTCTCCAGGACCCTGTGACACAGTGATGGGTTGTGGAGTCTCCAGGACTCCCTGACACAGTGCTAGGTTGTGGAGTCTAGAGGACCCTCTGACACAGTGCTAGGTTGTAGAATCTCCAAGACCCTCTGACACAGTCCTAGGTTATGGAGTCTCCAGGACCCTCTGACACAGTGATAGGTTATGGAGTCTCCAGGAGCCTCTGACACAGTGGTAGGTTGTTGAGTCTCCAGGACCCTCTGACACAGTGCTAGGTTGTGGAGTCTCCAAGACCCTCTGGCACAGTCCTAGGTTGTGGAGTCTCCAGGACTCTCTGACACAGTGGTAGGTTCTGGAGTCTGCAGGACCCTCTGACATAGTGCTAGGTTGTGGAGTCTAAAGGACCCTCTGACACAGCGCTAGGGTGTGGAGTCTAGAGGACCTCTGACACAGTGCTAGGTTGTGGAGTCTCCAGGACTCTCTGACACAGTCCTAGGTTGTGGAGTCTCCAGGACCCTCTGACACAGTGCTAGCTCGTGGAGTCTCCAGGACTCTCTGACACAGTGCTAGGTTGTGGAGTCTCCAGGACCCTCTGACACAGTGATAGGTTGTGGAGTCTCCAGGACCCTCTGACACAGTGCTAGGTTGTGGAGTCTCCATGACTCTCTAACACAGTGCTAGGTTGTGGAGTCTCCAGGACTATCTGACACAGTGCTAGGTTGCGGAGTCTCCAGGATCCTCTGACACAGTGTTAGGTTATGGAGTCTAGAGGACCCTCTGACACAGTGCTAGGTTGTGGAGCTTCCAGGACCCTCTGACACAGTGTTAGGTTGTGGTATCTCTAGGACTATCTGACAGAGTGCTAGGTTGTGGAGTCTCCAGGACTCCCTGACAGAGTGCTAAGTTGTATAGTCTCCAGGACTCTCTGACAGAGTGCTTGGTTGTGGAGTCTGCAGGACTATCTGACAGAGTGCTGTGTTGTGGAGTTTCCAGGACCCTCTGACACAGTGGTAGGTTGTGGAGTCTCCAGGATCCTCTGACAGTGCTAGGTTGTGGAGCGTCCAGGACCCTCTGACACAGTGCTAGTTGTGGAGTCTCCAGGACTCTCTGGCAGAGTGCTAGGTTGTGGCATCTCCAGGACCCTGTGACAGAGTGCTAGGTTGTGGGGTCTCCAGCATCCTCTGACAGTGCTAGGTTGTAGAATCTCCAGGACTCTCTGACACAGTGCTAGGTTGTGGAGTCTCCAGGACTCTGGCAAAGTGCTAGGTTGTGGAGTCTCCAGGATCGTCTGACAGTGCTAGGTTCTGGAGTCTCCAGGATCCTCTGACAGTGCTATGTTGTGGAGTCTCTTGCACTCTCTGACACAGTGCTAGGTTGTGGAGTCTCTTGCACTGTCTGACACAGTGCTAGGTTGTGGAGTCTCTTGCACTCTCTGACACAGTACTAGGCTGTGGAGTCTCCAGGACTCTCTGTCAGAGTGCTAGGTTGTGGCATCTCCAGGACTCTGGCAGAGTGCTAGGTTGTAAAGTCTCCAGGAACCTCTGACAGTGCTAGGTTGTGGAGTCTCCAGGACTCTCTGGCAGAGTGCTAGGTTGTGGCATCTCCAGGACTCTCTGGAAAGAGTGCTAGGTTGTGGCATCTTCCAGGACTCTCTGGCAGAGTGCTAGGTTGTGGCATCTCCAGGACTCTATGGCAGAGTGCTAGGTTGTGGCATCTCCAGGACTCTCTGGAAGAGTGCTAGGTTGTGGCATCTCCAGGACTCTCTGGCAGAGTGCTAGGTTGTGGCATCTCCAGGACTCTCTGGCAGAGTGCTAGGTTGTGGCATCTCCAGGACTCTGGCAGAGTGCTAGGTTGCAAAGTCTCCAGGAACCTCTGACAGTGCTAGGTTGTGGAGTCTCCAGGACTCTCTGGCAGAGTGCTAGGTTGTGGCATCTCCAGGACTCTCTGGAAGAGTGCTAGGTTGTGGCATCTCCAGGACTCTCTGGCAGAGTGCTAGGTTGTGGCATCTCCAGGACTCCTGGCAGAGTGCTAGGTTTGTGGCATCTCCAGGACTCTCTGGCAGAGTGCTAGGTTGTTGCATCATCCAGGACTCCTCTGGCAGAGTGCTAGGTTGTGCATCTCCAGGACTCTCTGGAAGAGTGCTAGGTTGTGGCATCTCCAGGATCTCTCTCTGGCAGAGTGCTAGGTTGTGGCATCTCCAGGACTCTCTGGCAGAGTGCTAGGTTGTGGCATCTCCAGGACTCTCTGGCAGAGTGCTAGGTTGTGGCATCTCCAGGACTCTCTGGAAGAGTGCTAGGTTGTGGCATCTCCAGGACCTCTGGCAGAGTGCTAGGTTGTGGCATCTCCAGGACTCTCTGGCAGAGTGCTAGGTTGTGGCATCTCCAGGACTCTCTGGCAGAGTGCTAGGTTGTGGCATCTCCAGGACTCTCTGGCAGAGTGCTAGGTTGTGGCATCTCCAGGACTCTATGGCAGAGTGCTAGGTTGTGGCATCTCCAGGACTCTATGGCAGAGTGCTAGGTTGTGGCATCTCCAGGACTCTATGGCAGAGTTCTAGGTTGTGGCATCTCAAGGACTCTATGGCAGAGTGCTAGGTTGTGGCATCTCCAGGACTCTATGGCAGAGTTCTAGGTTGCTTTCACTACCTAATTTTACACCTAAATACGCAGAGTTTCCAATAATTCTAGTACACTTATTTATATCGAAGTTTATTCCGACTATCTACCAATGTTCGTCAAGAAATTATCTCTAATTATCTCTAATTATGTCTAATTATCTTTCTCTTTCATCCCGTATTTGTAGTTATTTAAAAAATATATTTTCTTGTGCCCGCTCGACTTGGTATCAAAAATTTTTTTGTATATTTATTTTGTCGAATTCTTCCCTCCAAATATCTTTCTCTGAGTTTTTTTTTTTTTTTTTTTAAGATTATATTGTTTTAGTTAATTAATACATTGTGAGGTGAATGCTGAATTTATAATCATATATATATATATATAAATATATATATATATATATATATATATATATATATATATATATATATATATATATATATATATAGATATACGCAAGAGCAGGCGAAATATACACAAACACTGATCTCTGGCCGAAGGAGACTCGAACCTACGAACCTTGGAACAAGATACGCAGTGCCTTACCATTCTCACCACACTGGACCAATACCTTGGCGTCCAGCTTGCGCTACACGTTTGATCCAAGGCAGCCAGCTTTCAGGGAGAACTCTTACAGCTTTTCATCTCATCCCCTGCATGCATCCAGTGTGGTGAGAATGGTAAGGCACTGCGTACCTTGTTCCAAGGTTCGTAGGTTCGAGTCTCCTTCGGCCTTTGATTGAACTTTGTATAGAAAGGGGTTTAGTTGTAGGTAATACATATTTTAAGAAAAAGAGGATAAATAATTATACAAGATATGATGTAGGGCGAAACGACAGTAGTTTGTTAGATTATGTATTGGTAGATAAAAGACTGTTGAGTAGACTTCAGGATGTACATGTTTATAGAGGGGCCACAGATATATCAGATCACTTTCTAGTTGTACCTACACTGAGAGTAAAAGGTAGATGGGATACAAGGAGAATAGAAGCATCAGGGAAGAGAGAAGTGAAGGTTAATAAACTAAAAGAGAAGGCAGTTAGGGTAAGATATAAACAGCTATTGGAGGATAGATGGGCTAATGAGAGCATAAGCAATGGGGTCGAAGAGGTATGGGGTAGGTTTAAAAACGTAGTGTTAGAGTGTTCAGCAGAAGTTTGTGGTTACAGGAAAGTGGGTGCAGGAGGGAAGTGGAGCGATTGGAGGAATGATGATGTAAAGAGAGTAGTAAGGGAGAAAAAGTTAGTATATGAGAAGTTTTTACAAAGTAGAAGCGATGCAAGGAGGAAAGAGTATATGGAGAAAAAGAAAGAGGTTAAGAGAGTGGTGAAGCAATGTAAAAAGAGAGCAAATGAGAGAGTGGGTGAGATGTTATCAACAAATTTTGTTGAAAATAAGAAAAAGTTTTGGAGTGAGATTAAAAAGTTAAGGAAGCCTAGAGAACAAATGGATTTGTCATT